AAGGAGGATGTCTGAGATGAGACAATGTACCACTCTGCCAAGGCAACCAGTGGGGATGGATGGGAGGGTGGTGGGTGGTGGGGGGTAGCAGTCGCTCAATACCTATTATGTGTTCACTATAACATGAGCCTGTTTTTTTCTACACATTCTCTGTATGTGTTGTCCTGTTTTGTGATTCATGCAATATATCTTGTCATCACAACGTATCAGGAAATCTCATATGAATAACTGTTATATTTTAACTGTCTGGCGTGTGGAGAAAAAGCACCTCTGTTTTTCTCTTTGTGTCTGCACAAGGTAGGTGAGGTCAGTCGGGGACCACAGAAATAAAAAGCAACACCGCCACCTGTTGGCTGCATGAGTGAGACACTGCCCCAGTGTTCAGTGTGTAATGTCTCTATGATGTTGATTTACAATAAATCATCATATATGTGTTTTGTATTCAGATGTATTAACTGATACACTTTTATGCACTGCTACTATCAGTAAAAAGCACAATTTTATATGATTCTGAGGAGCTGACATGGATCCCAAATTAATATTTATGACATTTGAAAGCAGCATGTACAGAATAGTTTTCTAAATCCTCTAAGAATTTATACTGTCAACATACTATGCATGCTTCGTGAAATTATGTTATGTTGTTGCTGCTGTATGCTGCTATATATATATGATCATAGCTAAGAGTTTTATCACAACTTATGACATTATATATATATATATATATGAGCGGAGTAATAATGCATGCCTTTATGAGAGTGAACCTATATGTGCATCTATGTTGTTTTAATAATAGATTCTGCAGTGCCTCAAGTTCCTTTACATTGATATTCTTGTGTAACTTTTTTTCATAACAATACAATTAATATACAATTTAAGTGTTTACATTTATAATTGTTTTGTTTTGTGAATGCTCGCCATCATCTTTTGTATTTCAGAAACTTTTTGTGCAGTTGTTGTGCCAGTGGCCAAATCAGTTTTAGTATGAAATGTGAGGAATTATTGTTCAGAATATGAAAAAAATAAAATTGCAAGAAATTAGTTGTTTCTGCTTTTGGTTTAGTGCTTGTGTTGAACCTTTAATACCCATGTTACATTGCAAAATAATGGAGCAACCTCTAAAACATTTTTCAGTCTACTTAATAGTGAATAAATTATATTTCTGTTGCACTTTACACAACTGTAGTTATAAACCACTTTACAAGCAGTGTTATTCAAATGGGTGCATGTGTACCCCTAGAGATACATTTGGGGTAATGCAGGGTGTACTTTCTAAAATAATTAGTTCAATAAAAAAAGTAAATGTAGGTTCAACAAATGACATTTTATATTCCATATTCCTATTTTCAATGGAATCAATGCTGTGAACTGTCAAAAAGATGCAGTTTATTGCAGCTCTTAGTGTTATTGCATGATGACAAAAATGGTTTACATGAACTTTTTAAATCAAGCACTTAATAAATCAGACACCGGTGGTGCAGCGCAGTATTGTACCTCTTTATATAAGCAAGTTTTTCTACCAACATTTTTTACCGGTCAGGATATGCTTGGGTGAAAAAATATTTCAAAAGGGGAACAATAATGAAAACAGTTTGTGAATGGCTGATTTACGGAGGAAGAGATAGAAGCAAGGACACAGTAGTAATAGATTAGAGTCATACATAGAGACTAATGGGGTTTTTTTACAGGTAAAAGAAAGGAAAAGGTGACACTCTGCTCTCTTGCTGTCCAATACCTCCAATAACAGGATCCACATCTCTTCTACTTATAGCCCAACTTACATCCCTGAGTACAAACTGCCATTATTTAGCTCTTAATAAGTGAGCTCTGTCCGTGTCATTGCCATACACGGTCTAACTTACTGCTGTATTTCTCTGTACTTTAGCTGTTCAATAATGACAACAGTGATCAGTGGTGGAAAGTAACCCTCCACACCCAAAGTTCATCCACACAGGTGTTTTCACTTACAACTAACTACTTACACCTTTTTCTGAGGCCCCCACTTTGAAAAACCCTGTATTAAGCTGAGCGATCAATCAGGTGACTTCATTCACAAAGGTCAAATTATCCAATATTTCACAAAAAAGCAAAGACTACAGGAAAGTCAAAAAGGAACCTTTTGATCACATGACCCTCAGATGTAACTGGTGACCCCTTGGGAGAGACCCGACCCCTATTGGAAACCAGTACACTAAACTACCTACAGTACAGTAACTGTATATAAAGTAGTTTAAAAGAGCTCCACCTCGATCAGCAGGATGCTGCTTGCACATTGATAAATCAGCAACAATCTAATAATGTCACATAAAAATATGTCAGTCACAGGGGCCATTTTTCTGCAGAGCCACGACTTTTACTTTTAATAAAACATCATTTGATGATTTTACTTTACTTTACATTTACTTCAGTAGGATTTTGATAATGTAAACCAGTTGATGTAATCGTACTGATATCCTAAACTTCTCAGGAAAGTACTAGTTACTTACTGAAAGGGAAAAAAAATGTGAAGCAGGTGTGAGTGTTGATTGTCTTAGATGTAAGGTGATCAAACATCATGGTTCACTGGTATCTTATAAGGACACTGTAAAAACCTAAGATGGTAGATGACAGATGACAGATTTGACAGCATCCAGTAGTATCTACCATTTGGGGTCAGAGGTCAATAAAACCCACAGTAGGAAAATCTGAATAAGAAACAAACTTAAACTGATTTAGTTAATGATGTTAAAGGGCCAGCTCCTACCCATTTCATTGAAAGTGTAATGAACACATGAGAGCGACTGAGAAAGTGATTTTGTTCTCCCTGCACATATTTCTGGGCGTTTCTTCCTTTCATCTGCGACAGAATCCAGTGACACAGTGGTCATATTGTTGCTGCAGCCGTCTTATGTAGTAATGTGCGGTGCAGGCCGGTTGGGTTTCCTCTCTGTGCTGATTTGCTGACAGCAGACGAACGTCATCTGACACTGCAGAAGAGAACAAATGTGAGAGTTAGACATGTTATTTATGTTATGACAGCAGTGTGGTTAATGGGCCAGTAGTTAATGGAAAGAGAGAGAAAGTGTTCACCTGATTAAGTGTACAGGGGACCCCCGAGTCTAATCTGGCCATGCTCTTTAGTGTCTCTATGTATATTCGAATCAAATCGGTGCCTGATTCATCCATTACATGAATAAAGTTGCATGAATATAATACATTATATTAAGTGTCCTGCACTTTGTTCTACTTCTAATTTAATGTAAAACCTTAATAAATACTACCTAAAAAATTTAATTTTAGCCCGTCCCCACTCACACGACACCATAAAATATAAGGATTAGAATCACTCAGAGATTGTATGTTTTTATTATTGTGTGACTCTATTTCCAATTTAGACATAAAATGTGTTTTTCATTGTAAATTAAAAACATTAGTTAAAATTCACATGTCAGTCGTGTCCACAGTCCTGTTACCTTGACACATAACCCCCTATAAAAGTCACATGATCCAACAAGACAGCATCATTTGAGTTGTCTGAAGGCCATAGGGAGACCAAAGTAACTTCTCTCCCTCTATTGTCTGTATTTTTGTATTTTTTAAAGTGTAAATGTAAGTATAATCAAGACATGTTACAATGTTTTTATTCCTAAAAATATAGTTTTGGTAAACCACCTGAAGGTGCTAAGTGTTCTCAAGTTATTATCATTGATGCCATGTGGCAACGTTTCATGTATTTGCTAAAAAGATGCTAAAAACCATTTGGAATAGTATACTTTGAATAGTGAAACGTGTTTTATTAGATACAATGTTGAGAAAAAGATAAAGAATAAAGTTTAATTTCAGAAGAAACAACATGCAGGTGGCCAAAAATATGCATGTGCTCCTACAGGCTACAAATTGTGAATACCTAAATTGGTCCTAATACAGTAGCAGAGAAGCTAACACATTTGCTAGCTCAACAGGCCAGTATACAGTACTGACATTAAATGTGATCAACAGGTCTCAGGTGGAAGCAGGAGGGCGCTCGGCTGCCGCAGAGATCTGCGTCCAGTCCCAGCTGCGTAAAGCTGGATACAGAAGGCCACAATAAAAGCACCTAAACATGTGTTTTGGTTTCAAAATAAAAGCCCAGATATCTCTCTTGCCAAATAAGAAAAGGTAGGTTTTATCAGTTGTTGTTGTTGGACAAATTATTTTAAAACATCCAGAGAGTTGTTTATTATTATTATTATTATTATTATTATTATTATTATTATGCTATTTAGATGTACAAACGGTACACTTGGACATGTGAGCAGCGGGAGGTGGGGATCGAACCGCCAACCCTGTGGACGACCCGGTCAGTCGCACCGACATAGACAGGATGCTCATAGAAGTGAGCCAACTCGCCATTAAGCACATTTCATGTATGATTAGTCATTATTGTGGTTTGATATTATGTTATGTTAGTAATATAACCTCATTAATGTTCCCACGGGCTCTGAACCGTTGACGCTGTATATAAACGTACGTCAACGTCTACAACGTCTGTGTGACACGAGCGCCCTCTCGCGGGGCCCCTGCAGAGTTGATTGGTGATCCCCAAACTCTTCTAACTGCCGTTACCGAGTGCAGGCGGTCTGTAATGTACGTTAATGTCAAAATACTGTAGCGTTACAGGTTGTTTTTGTTGGTAAAAATGTGTTTTATACAAGTTGTACGTTAGACGGGGACTTCAAATCATATATTTAACAAATTATTGTCGGTGACTTTGCTAACTTTGACTTGTATTAACGTTAGTTTTCACAATTTTCCGTCGTGTAGTTAAGTTAGCTAACTAACCAACCACTTTTCAATTCACACCACAGTAATCATAGATGTTCTTTAATTTGAATCGTATTTAACTTATTAACTAGCATTTCCGTAATACGTTGATACGCAATGCAAGTTTTATTTTGAAGGTTGCATCCGGAAGTGGCACTAGTTATCCTTAAACTGACTTTAACATTTGTTCCCTCCTCCCCAGCATCACTCGCCGGCTCTCAGCTTTCCGCAGAGCCGAGCAGGAGTGCACCGCCGCGGGGAAGATGGCCTCAGTTTCTTTTAATAAGCAGAGCAGAGTGTGGTGGTGATCCTGGCGGGTTTCCCCCACAGTGTTTCCCTCCCTGAGGATGAGAAGACAGCCTGCAGCAGCAGCAGCAGTCAGACTACTACAGGACAGACTGCACTGCGTGATGCAGATCAGAGTCCAAGAGTTGACATCCTGCTGCCAGGAGGTGATGGTCTCCTCCTCGCTCCTCAGCTCACCTGCTCCTCTGTCGTGCCTCCAAATGTCAGGATGTTAACATATTATTCATTTGCTTTTCGTGTCACTCGGTATATCAAACTGCGCCTTCACCGGGACTATTGAGTGTTTTTTTTTTTTTTATTATTTTACATTTTACAGGACATCCAATGCTGGACTGTTTGTATTTAACCACTGGAGGACTTCAACTGTAAATCCTACAATGATCTGACGGCTGTAAAGTGAGACAAACATTAATAGAAGTCACCTGGCGTCGCCATCTAATTGGCTGTCCGTGCGCACATGATGGCCAATAACAACGAGCTACAAGTGAGTTTGCCAACTTTTTCTTTTTCTTTATTTACTGTGTTAATTTGCATATCTAAAAAACCCATAAACTTGTGCACGTAAAGATCTGATATGGGAATCATCTGGAGCTGATGATATCCGTAGTGGCGGGAGGAGGTCTCTCCTGGAAATACTTGTACAAACTCTCATTGTTCTGATGTCTGATGAGGGATCTCTAAACGGCTATTGCAGCTATTCAGTATTTCACTTGTATTAGGTTGGGGCATTTGTAAAAGACAGATTTGAAAAGAGAAATGGAAGCTGCAGACGCCAAGAGAGCCGGACTTTTAGTCCCTGTTCCAAAAATGCTACATTAATGCAAAATATGAATCTGAAAAGTAACTCACTGCATTTGTAAAGTGCAAGTATAAGTATAGTATACTTTTAATAAAAAACAAGGTAAAGTTACCTTAAAATTGTTCTTTAATGCAGAGAATAAATGCATGTAGTTACTTTCCACCAATGAACACTGAAAACAGCTAAAATACCAGGAGAGATTGCAGTAAGTTGAACCCTGTTTGACATTGAAAACAAAGTGTTTCGTGCAATGGGATAAAACTGCATTAAAGCCTATATTTTTGCACAAATTGGAAAGTACAGCAGAATAATATTACAGTTAAATAAGAGGAGGAGTGCTGCTGCCCTTCCAAATGTCTTTGTCCCTGCTGTGACTCACAGTCAGTGATCAACATATGCAAACAGCTAATGGACGAAACCAAACAACAGGACAGAAAACATTACTAGTGTGACCTTTTTTTTATAACAATTTTATTTCACACAGAAAAGTGGATAAACCCTATTTCACAGGTAAAATCACCACTGATTCCTCTACAGGTCTTGTTACAGGTTAGATTTTCCCAAATTAAATGCAATGATTTTGACACAGTAGTTTCCCTCAGGTGCAGTCAGGGGTGAGTCATGGATGGCGTTGTGTTGTCAGAGCCTCAGGTCTAATTCAGAGGGGTTGTGTTACAGTTACCCTGGTGTCAGCCTAGTGCAGCACTCAGTGGAGGGAAACGTTAAAAATTAAAGGCTGAGTGCCGGTTCAGCTCACGCCAGGAGACAGCACATCTCTCCCACAACCCCTGTCACAAGGTTAAACTGCTGCAGAGCGCATGCGCAATGGACATTTTAGTGTATTTAGTATATACTTTTTGATTGATGTGTGACTGCATGTATTTACAACCACAAACCACTCATATTTCCTGTATCTATCTACACATCTTTACCTGTGTGGCTTTGGTTTCACACAAGTCATTCCTGTGACAAGTGTAAACAAAAATTAAATTAAAAGAAAGTGAGGCACTGGCAAGTATTTCCCCTTTTCCTCAGAAATCACCTTACTCACAGTCCATCTTTTTTAGAAATCTATTTAACACTGCTGAATCATTTGTTGTGAGTGAAAACTGGCTACTTCTTGACATTTAGTAGTTTCCCTGAAGCCTCCAGTGTTTCTTGGAAAGCTGTATGTGTATGTGGGCATTGGGACAGCTAATAAGGGGCATATCATGACCTACATCTGTTGACAATGGAGAGGGACAAAACATTAACATTAAAATTATTAACCTGTGTGCCTTGATGAAATAAAGTGTAAGTAAGGTGAATAAAGTAAAAATATAATTAATTAAAATAAAGTGGTTCAACTGGTCTTTATAAAAAATAGGTTATTAAAAATGACAAATAATTTATCAATATTGACTGAAATAAAACATTTAATTGTGATACATTTTTCAGATCTATTGCCCAGCCTTCGGTCTCCTCACCACAAGAAAACTAACTCAATGTGTTAAATTGGTGGATGCACCTTTTAATGCATAATTATTGCCCACTATCTCTTAAGCTCACCATTATATTCATGAGCTCATGAGTCATATACAGCACAAGTATATGTAGATTTCTCCTGCCCTGCTGTGTGGATGACACATTTAAATGTGTTCATGGTCTCAATACTGGATCTATAACACCTCCAAGAGCGCCTGCGCTGCATTTGAGCAGTTTCTGTCTGGCCTGATAAATTCAGCCTCCTCCTTTGGCGATGACAAGGGTTTCAGTCATCGTTACCAGCAGACAGGCAGTGAGCAACGGCTGATTGAGTTCAAGGGGCCACGTTGGTAACGATGATGTGCTGAACCTGTCAAGAGTGGGCCGAGGCACAGCGGTGTGTGATTGAGCTTGCTTGATCGCTCTCTTCCCTTTATTTCTCCTGAATGCCTCATCAAGTCAGTACCGTTGCCGACACTTATTCTATTGGAGGTCACGACTATCGTGCTCATCGAGGAAAACAACTGAAATGGACCACCCCCCCTATTAAAAATACGTTATCCATATATGCACAGAAGGAGGCTAACTAACTCACTCTATCTTGTTCGCTGCTGCTCCATGAATGTTGGCCCTCCTCCTCCTTCAGATAACTTTAAGGAATGTAAATCAAGTCTCCTGCTAAGGATGTGAGCTCTGTGCTGAGCAGATAACATACTCTTTGAGGTAGCCATACACTCAGCGGCCGCCCTCTCATGAATTCTTTATTCCTGTGGGTTTCCTGTAGTTATTGTCTGTAAGAGTTCTGCAAGTTAGGCGAGCTGCTGCTTCATCGCTCAGTGGTAGGGAGCAAAGGCAACTCTTTCAGTTCCTGACCAAATTACTTTTTTATTGATCATCCAAGAGAGTGGAGGCAACTTCGTCCATTTCCTTTAATGGCATATGAAGAAGAACCGAAGAGCACACTCGCATATAGAAGGACTGTTGATGGTCTCACATGTGTTATAATACACAGTGATGTCTTGCATCACACTCACCATAATGTGTGTCTCCAGCTGCCACTGCTATGGATAATAGGATTAGGAGACTGTGGACTTCACTGTGTCTCTGACCTCCTAGGAGGGAAGCATTAGTGCCCTCAGTCACAGACTCACATACACATGTACAACCCCCCAATATCTAGTCCCTCCTGGCTGAATCCAGGATTACACTGTGTCTGCAGAAATCTGTCTCTCTCCCAGACACACCAGTAGACAAGCTTATAACTGCTGCAGTACAGCTTCAATGCATTGATGGGACATCTTAATGGCATTCATCAATAAACCTGATGGGTGCGTCTAGCCCTAACCTCGCTCATTAGGGTGCAGTCAAGCAGTCCCAATTAGTGCCAGGGAGGAATGCTGGCTGATATCTAAAATGCCAACGTAGAACAAAAGATGTTAAGTATCCCTTTAAGCTAGCATCGATGACTGCCTGTTTCCATGCCAGTCTAATGTCTGTTCCTACTGACCCTTCACCAGGCCCTTTTACATCGGGCTGACCAGTCTGAACACCAGCTGTTGCTGCTATATGCCAGCCATCCACCAGGCTTTCAGAGGATTAGTTATCATTGATAACAAGCCAAGATAAGGAAGAAAATAAATGAAAAAATAAATATACCACAGAGAAACTGGTGAAGGACAAACTGCTAGTTATACTGGTTACTTGTACTCAGCTACATTTTGGCTTTTTATAAGCTGGTTGTGTGAGTCTTTTAGGGCTTTAAGGGATTGTGGTATTACAGGATTGAAGAATGTGTTGCTAAGAAGGACAAGTTAGAGAAATGGTGTTACGTTAGGGGAGCAACATATCGTGAATTCTATCTGGAAATGATATTTCTCTCAGTATGACTCAGGGGTAGGAAGGTCTGAAAGGAAGGCCATTTAGGACCCATGTGTTGGTCTGAGAAACGAGTTTTGTAATGCCAGTGGGCACTGAGGTTGAGCAGTGCTTGTGAAATAGCTTACAATGTGGTGTTTGGCCTGGGTTTGTCACTGAAAGAACACTCTGAGATAAAAGGGACAAACAAGAATAGGATGTGCATTGAATCAGCAGAATGGAATAAAAGTAGAGCTGATCAATACTGATGAAATCAAGTGGGATAAACTGAAAATGTGCTGAGATCTTGTGGCATATTGATGCTTTCATGCATTTGAGTTAAAACTGGGGTAGGTAATTAACTATTAAACCATTAAATTATTATACCACAAGGTCCATTAAGTAACAGTTCTGGAGCTTTTGATCATATCACATGATGTTCATCAACAGATGGCGTTTGCCCAGTGTTTCCAGAGGAAAGTAATGTAATTATGATGGTCAAAAAAAAAGTTTTCACTCAGCTTACATAATATACGGTGTATATACAATATATTATATGGATATATTGCCCACACTATAATGTAGCATCAACATTTTGTTACTAAATAAAGGCCTGATCCCAGTTTAAAAATTAGAAATGTTTTGACTAAATCCATTTATTCCAATAGAACTAAATCTGCATACATTTTTCATCTCTTGTGAACTTTTACAAAACAAATTTGTTGACCAAATAGCAAGCCATACTGACAGTGTTGACCTACGGGGGAATGGACAGTTGGAGAGTTCAGACTGGAGGAAACTATCTTAGCCTGTTAGCGGTGTGTCACCATCCAGTTTTATTCTACTTTACATAAACTGTTCCACAAAAGAGCAGTGGTTTGCAGACAGTTAAGGGACTGGAGTCAATGTTACTGATTCATCTTTTTAATAAACTGTGAAAACTTATACCATTACGGGCCAAGCTGACAAACTTGTTAACTGACAGTTAGCATGCTTGTTATCCCTAAGAGTCCTTTCTCCCTCTTCAGTTAAAGGTGGTGTAAGTGATTCAATCCAATAGCATGTCAAATAACATGATATAGTTCAAACGATGGCACAGCAAGCAAAGTAACTAACGTAACTGTAACGGAGCCCAATTTCCCGCCAGCGATCAATAAAATATTTCTGATTCTGATTGTTACCTATGCAGTGAGGACGGGACCATTTCCCAGCACACCAGCTGTACTCACAACTCTCCCGTTATTATAGCTGACATCAGCATATCTTGGCAAACTAGAAAGTAAGCAGAAAGTATGTGGCCAAATAATTTAACATTACCTGACACACAATCCCGGCTGGTTTAACCAATCAGTGTTATCTGGTTTGGT